TTGACCTTAAATGTGGCTGTTTGTTATTTTAAGTCACAAGTGCCCCCTTGCTGTTAAGTCAAGTCACAAGGTTTGTTGGTGAGGTTCCAGTTTTTACATGGCTGCAGCATGCCTCAATTACTACGCAAATTGGACTTATATGTCTGCCCATATTAGTAACGGATATTGCTGAGCAAAAGCAGATTGAGGAATCGATAGTTTTAAGAGGCTCTTCTTCTCATTAATGGGAAGGAGTCTCTTAAGTGTGCTGGAAATTTATCTACACTGCTGTCCAAATGACTCTGCATCCATGCAACTGAAGTAACAGCACACCAATCATCCATATAAATAAACAAAATTAATAAGATCTCCTTAAGAAAACTCCTGGTTCTTCACAGCACCTTTTTGAAAAAAGGTTCTTTGCAGAAACACTTCTTAAAAGGTTCTTTGAGGAGCCCTAACTAGTTCCTCAAATAACCAGAAGCATAAAATTCTTTAAAGCTTCATTATGAAACCAAACCTACAACTTATAGGATAAAAATACAAGAGTATCAAACCTAAACAGTGACCAAATTCCTAACAAGACTAGAGCAAATCAAGGACCAATTTTAATACTGATTATATTACATAAAGTACAATAAAAATGAAATAAGCAAGCTCAAAAAAAGTGCGGACCTGATTTTATTTGAAAATATTGCTTTATGTTTTCCTCAAAAACAAGAGTAGGGAGGAAAAGCACACTCGTAAGCTTATATCAGCTCAGGGCTAATATAAACTAGGTTGGAAACTAGGTTTGGGTGGTATGATGGTAATATAGTATGCCACAGTATATGTACATATGTGCCTCAGAAAAACTAGGAACGATAGCAGCTCCGCAGCCTCAGAAAGGGGCTACATGCATCCACCTTCAGAATGTAACTGCTGCACCAGAGGTGGAATGGGAAGATTTGAACAAGAAGTGGTGGAAGAGAAAGCCAACTTCAGAACTGTAAAAAGCAAACTTTATTAAGCCTAACCAAAGCCAATTTAAGGGCCATATGACTATCAAAAATATTATGACTAGCTAACGCTAACCAGCTTCTCTCTGGCAACACTGTTTAACATTTATCAGTTTTTCTGTAGTTGGTTTGACATTAATTGAATAAAGGCTTGAAAATCGAGTTCACTAATTTGGTAACCACAAAGTGAACTGATTTTGAAATAACACTAGACGAGACGGCAGAAGTCGTTACAACTGACTTCTATCAGCAGCAATTCATCTCAACATTTTTTTTTTTAATTATCATCATATACCGTATACCCTGGTAAAATGTCAGAAAATTAATGAAAAAATAGATACCGGCCAAGCTTAATGGAAACATTAACATTAACAATAACAACCCTGGAGGTGTGACCATGCAGGGCGGAGGCATGAGAGACTTAAATTTTGTAAATAAGTTGTTGTTGCGGATGATGATTAGTGCAGGTGTGTGTGTTATGCCCTCCCGCGTTTGCTGGTGTGTTGTGTCGGGGTTAGCGCTTGGTGGGCGGTTCTTCCTGCTGCTGTTCAACAGAAGATCATTTGCTTAAAGCGCTATGTTTCTCACGTCTTCTTCTTTGCTGACGCCACATTAACATAAGGCAAATTTTCAGGCGCTCCATATTTTTGCTGAATCATTACACCCCTATTACCTACTATATTATACACAATGTTAGCTAGTTTGGTAGCCAACTCGCCAGCTAACAGTAATATTTAACTTGCTATCTTGATTCACAAGGCTAACTTTTACTCTTAGAAAAAAATGTCTGCGTAGTTTTAACAACTTCATAATGATAACAGCAGTTTATAAAATGTCACTGAAGTTTTATTTCTCTCAAAAGAGCTTGTTTTAACATGATGTAAATGGGCATTAGAAAGTCAAAAATCATTAAAACCATTTTTATTTTTAAGAGTAAAGACTCTTTTTGCATTGATCAGTGATCCAGAAAAATCTGGTTGTGGTGCAGTTTTGAGCACAGTAGTTAAAAAGACAAGAAACACAGCAATTCATCATACCTCTCTGCAGCACAATGTTTTTACAGCCTTGTGTTTATTGCTCTGATAAGGAGTGATAAGTACGAGAGCCCGTGTAACATCTGCTACTGGACATGACATGGTTGTAAACCCAACTGATGGCACCGAGAATCTCCCAGAAAAAAAAGGCAATGCTACTTTACTGAAAGCCTGGAACTAAAGCTTCTTTAAGCACTAGAGTGAAAGAATGAGTCTATATCTACATGCACCTTTTCTTAGATTCCACTTAATAATGTCTTGATACTTCAAAGCATTAAGCCTCCCATAATAGTAAACATTCCTATAAAACTATCCTCAGGGCAGAGCACTCATCTAGTGACATTAAAAGCTATTTTGGCCTAGGTACATCCATATAATGAAAACTGATAGAAGGTGTGCTGATATGGAGCGGATGACAATGTTTAAAGCAGGGGATACGCAGAACAATAATATTTGAGGTGGCCGAGTGGGTTTTCTGACGTGATAGATTGAGAGCGCTTTGTAAGTTTGGACAGATGAAGTACAAGGGTACTGGAAAACAGACGACAGAGCAGAAGGCCATGGAACAGTTAGTAGAAAAGGGAAACAACTTCACTCTGGGGCCATCTGAACTGTTAAACCAAGCAATTCAAAGACTGTCACACACAAAGGACACCTGTTGGGGTGTTTGAGGTCTTGGCTTGACAATAGAGTAGAGATTCAGATAACATAGTTGAGAAAGATTTACAAGTCTGGAGAAAAGTCATTCTGAATCATCAGGGTTCAAAGAGCTTGATTCCTTCCTGCAGACCTAGAGCAAACATACCTCTGTTATAAGCCACAGGCCATTATTGGAGCTTTTGGTCAAAAAGTAGCTTTTACCTGCCAATGTAGGTGATAACCACTCCTTTATATCCAAATGGCATCATCGAGTTGAAATTATTCAGTGATTTTAGATCACTGTATTCTTAATAACACAATGGTAACAAATGTGCAGTGTCTTAGGACTCAGAGTGCTGATGGGGACTGGGTTAAGACCCTAAGCTGATGAGGGTCCTGGCGAGACTTGTGTCTCCACCAGGCCTGATTTTCCACCAGACTGCCCAAGCCATGTTTTTCTGTCAACATTCATCACAGTTCACAGAGCTTCAGCTATGCATGCCATCCCATTATGAGGCCCAGTCTGAATATCTCTGCATGCTCATTACAAGCCATTAACATTTGTGGTTACTATGCAAATCATGGTGAAATATGTGCATAGTCGTTAACTTGCATAACCCTTTTCTGCGATGAACTCTGGAAAGTAATAGCTCTGTATTTATCGACAGGCTCCTTAGCAGTGAAATTTATGTCACTATTGATCGCCATGATTTACTGATTGATCCAATACATGCTGATGGATGAGAGACGCAGGCAGCTCGGTGATTTGTAGCTATGCAGGGGCAGTGCATGAAGTAGAGTGGCAGTTACCAAATGTCAGATCAGGCTCTGTAACATCTTGTGGTGTCATTTTAAATTTGGAATATCACTGGTGTTCGTCTGAGTTTCTCTCAATTGCAGTCTTTCATGAAAACCAATGTTAATAATCAAAACTAGGCATCCAGGTGCAGCCTGTAAGGTTAAAATGGGTGGGCTTATGTTCAAACAACTGGGCTTTCTTCCTGAACATGCATATAAATTCTAGGGGTTATGACTTTTGCAGCTTATTTTCTTAAAGGGCTGCAAGGTGCACATTGAAAATGTTCTACTTAAGACCTTTTATTTCTCTGAGCCACTCCACTATGTGCCGTGTATAATCAAGAGTTCTGAATCAAGACATTTTTTAAGACATAAAACATCAAAAAGCAAACTGAACCTTGATATTAGTATGGAAAGGTGTACTAAACCTGATGATATATGCACTGTAACACCCCTAAAAATATGCAATTGGTAATTCAATGCTCCGCCTCCCCTCCCCACAAGCAGAAATTCCTGGGGCTGCACAGAATGAAATGACCAGTGCTGAATGTGTTTACATGAGTAAGGTAGCACATCATATATTTTTGTTAATCATTATCACGATACTGATATCACAGAAGGCTGTAATGTACAAATCAGCCCTCTTAATATTTACAACAAACTTACTGGGTGCTGTGCGAATGTTGACCAATCGCAGTTACAGAAGCATCAGTGGGCATTTTGAAGAATTACGATATTCATACAATCCAACAAAAGTACATTATTTTGGTCAAAATGATGCAAGCCCATCTTTAAACATGTCACACTTGATTTGCAAATGCTTTTTAATATATTATAAAGTAACTGCAATGATAATAAACATATTATTAGCATTTCACCCATATTGTGCAGTCCTACAGTAACGTATACATTACTATAACAGTAGTACTATTTTACTATAACAGTAAAGGCTCATTTTTACTCCCTTTACATACGAAAAAGAACATGTTCGTTTCAAACCATGTAACCGTCACTGCCCTCATACTTCCATGTGTCCTTTACGTTGGCTTGGAAGTTAAGCAGTACTTCCACTAGAGGGCAGTCCAGAGTAAAACGTTTCTAACAACGAACATGGCGACGGTGGAGAAGGTCGTAATAATGTACCAGCTACAAAAGAGATGAAAGAGGCACCAGTGTAGACTGTGGTGAGGCCATTAAATACTTTGTGACGTGTGGACGGAGAATTCTTTTCATTTATATTACCAATAAGAGAAACTAGCATTGTGTCTCGCATGAACTATTGGCTAACCTGCCCCCACGGCTTCCACTGCTCTGTTTCGTCCGTATCTGTAAGCTTTCAGAGAACGTGCATAAATACGGATGAAATTACTGCAGAGTACAGACAAAAGGCTCCGTCCATAACCGTATCCATGTTTAACGTTGAGCATAAATGAGCCTTAACAGTGTAATCAACACTACTGGCTTTGGACATGCCTGAACACCCATTAAGCTTTTCACTTCACTTCACAACAATGTTAAAGTTCTATTAACTTCATAATCACAAAGATCTTACCTGATTGTAGGGTTTCAGTTCAGAGTCTGAGAAGTGGTAGAGTGGCTTAGTGTGGCCCTGCTGCATGAAGCCTGTGAAGAACTTGTTGATTTCGGCAATAGAAATCACACACACCGTAGAGCTGGCTGTGGGTTCAGGAGAGTCAGGTTTGCTGCGAGCAAAGGCAGCAAACAGCACATCTTCTCCTTCCTTCAGACCCATCTCCTTGGACAGGTCACTGCCAGCTTTGGCTACATGTGCTGCCTGAAGGACATTGAACACCATCTGGGTCGAACGTTTCCTCCTGCCTTTCTCCGAGTAGATACACTCGAAGGGCATCTCCACATAGTGCAAAAGCTCCAGGTCGGAGGAGCACATGCGCACAATGCGGGTGTGGAAGACCTTGGAGCTGCTGCTTTCTCTCTGCACAGTGAGAAAGTAAACATACTGACCACTTAGGAAGGAATAGACATAGTTCAGGGGATACTCAGGTGCTAGGTCCATGTAGGACTGCTTAGAGACAAACTCAAAGCGGTCTTGGGTCTCCCACATCTTTCTCACAGAGATTGTGTGGTGGACACGCTCAGAAGACCTTGGAAAGGAGGCAAGAGGCTCTGAATTAGCGACAAAGAACCTTACAACACCACCAGCTAAGACGTTAACAATCTGGGTTCCCGCAGGGCCGGCGATATACTGACTGCCGTCTTCGTTATGCGAGCCCATGCAGTTCACATCGTCTAGTTTACCATCTTCCAGCACATGGCGGATGCAGACACCATTTCCAACTGTGCCACAGCTGAAGAGCTCAGGGTCGTAGTAGGTCTCCATCACCAGAGCCATGTTAGTGTTATTAGCATTGGCTGGATTGTCTCTGCAGCTCTTGCAAGCACATCGTTGACCCTCATGGACAGTGTTATACTCAGTCATCTTCTTGAGGTCTCCTGACAATGCATATAGTTTGTTGGTAGCACCAACATAAACGCTTTCATTGAAAACTAGAAGCTTCTGGACAGGTGTATCTGACACAAAGTGGGGGAGGTCATAGGTCACAGAAAGGTTGAGTTTGGAGACTTCTTTGGGCTCCTTACATTGTCCTTCTACACCCCACCACAACGTCTGGAGAAAGATGAGAATACAAACGGTGCCAGGGAGGGTAGTTCTCATTTTGTTTCTCTAGAAGGAAAACAGAAAAAAACACAGCATATTTAATGTACAGTACAAACGCCCAGAGCAGAATCATGCACAGTTCATCCGTTACTACTATAAACAAAGAAATGTCTAAACAAAACTTGGCTGCAGAAACATTTTATATACTGATATATACAAAAGCCCATTAGAAAATTTAAGTAGGCACACAAAATCTTCTTGGGCTGCTAATTGAGACAAACTGTCCTGGTTCAATGACATGGGTAAATCCCCCCGCCCCAAACCATAATGGCAATGAGATCACCAGTTGTTATTCCAATTTGAGGTGTATCGCAACAAAAAAAAAAAACCTTTGAAACAGTCAAAGGAACTGAAATTCACCGCAAACTACGTGGTCAACCACTGATAACAAAAAGGGTGAAATCCAAATGTCTAAACATTTCTGTGGTTCGGTAGCACTGGAAATGATTCACTACAGCGGCAGCTTCCTCTGAAAGCGCAGCAGTGACAAGTCTAAGTTTAGACAGCGTCCTCAAGGGAGTGGTTGATAAACTCAATTAAGGCGGGCAGGCTGCAGACGCTGGAGAAGTGATTTATTGTTGGTGTGCTTAAACGCTTTTCATTTAGGAGGCTGCTTTGAAGAGGGGAGAGTCAGAGGGACAGGAGTAAAGAGAGAGAGAAGAGAGAGAGAGAGAGAGAGAGAGAGAGTATCAGATCAGATGCTCCTACTCCCACCTGAGTATCCTTATCTGAGGTATGTAGGCCTGAACAAGAGGAGAGTTCTTGGATAGAAGAGCCATCGCAGTGTAACTCAGAAGTGGGCGATAAGGCAAAAATATGATGATACTTTAAGAAATCTCCACTATATAGACAACTCATATGTTGGAAAAGGGCAAAAAATAGTCAGCATTGCCAAATTTTAAAAATACATCAAATACCAAATGATTTTTATTTAATATTTCGCATACTTCACTGCACTACATCCAATTAAACAGGACTAATTATGCTCCCTTTAAAATGAAACATGCAGTGTTCTTTAAGTACTGCATATCCATCATATGGTCACAAAAGCTTACTGTGACATATTGTGAGGTAATTTATCAGGATAACGCTAAATATTGTCATACTGCCCAGCTCTACTGTAACTGCATTGGTGTGATTTACTATTCAGCCTACAATTTATTTGCCATTTACTTCTTTATGTTTGTGCCATTTGCCTTTTTAAACTGACCAATATACAAGGACTAAGAGACACTGAAAAAAAGGTAGTCCTCCTTCACATACTGTGATGTAAGATGCATGAAAAGCACTTTGTGCACAGGTGTTGTGCAGATTCAGTAAACTGAGCACGAATGTAAGTCTATGGTGTTGAAAAATCACAAAACAGCCTCACTGACTTTAAAGCCTGCCTGACTATAAAGTTCACCTCTTTAACTGCCTGAGAAATTCAGAATATCAGTGAGTCATAAAGTAAACGGAGAAAAACGTAACAGTAGCTACGAGGAAATAATAGCAGAAAAATAATGGAAAATTTTGCCCCTGGACTCAGATGACTGTGCCAGGTTCTGTAATGACTTAATGACAGAAATGTTATTCAGGTAGCTGCTGAAATGAAGTTAGAAAGCTGAAAGATGGTTCTTCAAGGGTTCTTTAGTAATGGAATGGTTCTATATAGAATCATTAGTTAATGAATGGTTAAATGGTTCTTTGCATGGTGAAATGGTTCTTCAGATTGTTGATAGAGAATAAGTTGTATATGGTTCAATAGGGAACCTTTTTTGAAAATGTTTCAGTACAGGACTAAAAAGGGTTTTTCTATTTTTACAAGCAGCACAGAAGAACCATTTTTTCCTATATAGAACCATATACAGCACATTCACCGTCTCCATTTTAGCATGCAAAGAACCATTTAAGCATGCAAACGAACTAATGGTTCTAAACAAAACCATTCTCCTTACTAAATAACCCATGACGAACCATCTTTTCCTTCAGAAAATGTCCTATCAGAAAAAAAAACTTAACAAAAAAAACATTAATTCCACAAAGAGAGGCTTAACTTTATTAAGAAATCCAGGAAACAAGTGGATCAGATTTGTTGCGCTTGTAAACTGTTTACGTCGTTTTTTCTGTCAGAAAACTGTTCGCGCGGCCAGCAAGGTTTTAAAAAAAACCCTCAATATTCAGAACGGAGGCTGTTCTGTTCTGAGAGGGAAAACAACTTTCAAACAGCGTGAAAAGGGTCGTTAGAAACAGCTTCGGGAGTAAAACTCCTCTGCTTACCTGTTAGAAACGCGTCGCCGTTAGAAACTCTGATCACATCTTCCAGCCTCGCGCTGCGCTCAGGCGCCAACTTTCTCTCTTTCTCTGCGCGCGGGACAAGTTTCCTCTCACGAGCTCCGGTAAAGTGTGTTCGCTCCACGGGGGGTTTAGAGGAACTGTGTGGGACCCTCACTCCGGTGCTGGTACCCTTTTTTTCCCCGCTGATGAGGTGGGTTTGTTCCCTCAGGCTGTGGCGGTGCTATCACACTCTCACTCACTCTCTCTCTCCCTCTCACACACTCACACAGGCTTCAGGTGAACGCAGAGTGTGTGTGCGGCCTGTTACGTCACTGAGCCGCGGAGTAGCGGAGCAGCTGATTGGCTGACAAAGTCAAGATTACTACTATAAACTATTACTGCTTTATTACAATCGTTTATGAATACCACGATTACTACTACTACTACTACTACTACTACTAATAATAATAATAGTGGTGATGATGGAGATAATATTAAAGGACCCATATCAGAAAAGAAATTTTGAAATACAACAGTTGATTCTGACACTGTTAAAGTTTCAAAACCGCTGATTCCCTCGTCCATACAGTTCATACAGGGAAACTAAGCTACAAAAACAGCTCGTTTTGAACTCCTCGTTTTTGTGACGTAATGAAAACCCACACCTTCACATACATCTATCTATCCAGCCTGTAGCTCCGCCCATACATGCTGAAGTTATAAGGTGTGTTGGAGCCTGGACGGCTTTTAAAGAGGCATCCAATCAGAACAGTGTTCATTTACGTGGATCAGTCTTTAAAGCACAGTAACAGTAACAGCCTGTTTATTCTAACAGATAAAGAAAGGTGAGAAAATGGTCATGTAAAAATGAATTATAACTATTTTTTGCACATAAAACCACCAAAAACATTCTATGTGAAAAGAGGGAAAAAAAGAAAAGAAAAAATGTAGGGTATGGCCCCTTTAAGAAGAATGGTGATAATGAAGATTGTGATGATAATAATAACAGCAACTATTATTATTATTGTTATTATTATTAATAGAAGAAGAATGGTGGTGGTGGTGGTGACAATGCTGATAATGATAAACAAAATATTTACCATGTTAAATATGAATAATATCAATATTATCTTATTATCTTACTAATGTTAGATTCTATTACCAATAGCCGCTGTTATATGTATACAGAGATTATGATTTTTATTAATTTATTCATGGCTGAATATATTCATGGATTCCTTCTTGGTGCTGGTGTGACAGTATGAGTTACTGTAGTTTGTGACTCCTCCTTGGTTAACAGGTTACAGGATAACAGACATCCTTTAAAGTAGCCTTCAGTGGACAGTGTGGTACAGTTCTCACTGTCCCCTGGAAACTCATCCACAAAACACTCCGTAAGCAAAATAGTCCAATAAAATATAACTGATAACGTGAGCATGTGTGGTTTCACTTCACTTCATCATACACAAAGAGCCATTGCCGTTAGGTGCATGGCCTCATTGTTAAAATTCATCCTCGTTAATAACGTGTATCTGACTGTGCTGAATGAGTCTGTATCCCACTGTTAACAAAGCCTGACTGTGAGTGAGGCTGAGCATTCACTCTCTCTCTACTGTAACTATGACTGCTGCTCTCATAAAGCGTGAAGAGGAAAAGGTCACTGCCATGGTCAACCTCACTTCACCACCCAGTAATCACTGGACGCTGTGTGTGTGTGTGTGGAATTCAGGAGCTATGACACACTTGGCAAATATGTTTACTCACACTCACCACACCACCTGTTTCTGCCCTGCATTTCAAGGCACATTTTCTTGTAAACATCTCATATTTCACAAATATTTGGACAGACCGAGTTACTATTTATGCTGCTTTGTCTTGATCCTATTGTAAATTTTACTGGAGGTTTTACACCCTACTATCATTCATATGAAACTCAAAGTCATTTCCAATCTTACCCTGACAGTGCCACCTAGTGGTGATTCTCCCACACTACATTTATAACTAATAGGCCTAACAAAAGTGCAGACCATTTGAACTCAAGATTCTTAGATACAAAGTTTTATCTGATAAAGAACTGAGAAGAAAAAAGCACAAACATCATCTATATTAAACAGTCAGACCATTCACGTGGGACCTCTCTGGGGTTATTTATCACCTTCAGGTCAATGCACTCCAGGTTAACTGCTGACCAGGCCGTTCTGTTACTGTAAACCCTGATTGATGGTTGACTCATTATAGGCCGGCTCGTTCATTTGAGGGATGCACTTACCTTCACTGTCTGTCAGCAGTGATTTAGCCGGTCAATAATGTTGTTCATCCCATTGCTTTGGAATGGCAGCTGACATGCAGGGCCTGTCCATCAGGCTGATCACAGGTTATTGTAACAGTAATAAAAATATCTTTAAATATAGTTGATGGTCTGTCTTTATACGCTGTTTTGTTACTGTGCCTTTAAGACTGATTTAAGTGAAATTAGCTCTGTTCTGACCGACTGTCCTGTTTGGTGCCTCTTTCCAAAAAAACTCAGAGCTGCTGTAGGCTAAATAAGTGGATGTATCATCACTGTCCAAAAAAATAGTATCTCCAAAATAGCAACTTTACTCCAACTTTTATTCCAAGCAATTCTGGAGCCCATTCAATTGTGTTAGTCCATTCATCATGAAATTTTCACACAGTGAGTGTGTTTACATGCACACAATAATCCAATCATAATTTCTGCAGTTATCTGATCATTCAAATGGTCAGATAAACAGCATATTCCAATCTAGAAATCAGATAAAGAGTAGCTCAGTAATCAGATTTTTCAGTGCATGTATACTCTTACTCTGATTTCTTTCGGATTTCTCAGTCTGCACATGTGCGAAACAGATTGCTGTACTGGAAATAAGCAAGCAGCATTGCCATGTGATGTCAGCAAAACACTTTTGGAGCGACGTTAAAACCAACTTCATCCTTGATGAAATGAAGGATTTAAATATTCTTCATTTTCTAAATGATGTATGTTCATATTTTCGGTTAAAATGGTTGGATGTTTTAAAAAAAAAATCAGTGGCATGAGTTGTACTTTACGTTTACATCACGTCTTCTGTGTGTTTATTGGCCGGTTACAAAGCAGAAATCCGATTACTGCCTGACTCATGTAGACCTGGAGTTTTCCATTATCTGATTACTCAAGTGCATATAAATGTGTTGATTGGATTACTGACAAAATCTGATCTTCTGCAATTATCGGATTATAAAGTGCATTTACAGATTTGTTGAAATAAAGATTTGTAATGTTGAAATGAAAGTGGTTCTGATATGAAAGGCTTAGGCCCATAAATAGAAAGAGCTTAAACATTTAGATAACCTCCCCTTTATTTATCTGAAAAGAATGCGTCTCTCTTTTCCATCAGATATTTTTACTTCTCTCAGAGGGAAATGCTTTTTCGCCTTGTTAAATGTTTATGAAAGCGTTCAAATCTCTGCAGTGTTGCTCATTCTCTTGAAACCTTTTGAAAACAAACATTTGAAACAATCCAGTGCTCACACACACACACACACACACACACACTCACGCACACACACACACACACACACACACACAAATGCGTACCTGTATTTCTGTCTTTATGGGCACTTTTAGATTAACCTATGTACTACTGCACTGTTAACAGTCATTCAGAGTGGTTTGATGTGAAATGGTTAATTGTAGAAAAACTTACTGACTTGTATTTCTTTACAGTGATGGTGATAGAAACCAGGGGTCAGGATGTCCACAAATATAGCCATTTTATTTACTGTCCAAAATGACTAGTGGACCTTCACATGTCCTGAGTTTTTATATGTAATGCTGATAGTGGTAAATTTGGGGGTACACACTGCATGTATGTATTAAAAATGTAATTTTAGATGGAATCAAACCACTTTGAATGACTGTGTACATCTTAACCCTTTAATTATGCAGAAATCTTGAAATATTGGTGGAGTTCCCCTTTAATTTCTATAGCCAAAAGAACAAAAGGCACAATTTACCTAATACATCAGAATTTGTCATGTTTTACTATTATTGGTTTGAACGTTTAGTCTAGACAGAGAGAAAACAGAGCACACACACACACACACACACACACACACACACACACACACACACACCACTACTACTACTACTACAATGGGCAGTTCACAGCAGAGCGAATGCGCATTTCAAAGGTATTTCCTTTTATTAACATTTTCCTGCCAGCTGAGGATGACGGGGGGCATTGTGAACATGTTGTTTTTCTACTCCGTTTCTATGGTGAGAGTGATTCAGTATATCTAGCGGGCAGAACTGAACACCTGGTGGGAAAACACAGTGAACCAGAACAGGTGAGGGGCTCTGTCGTCAAAGCCACCAAATCCAGACCTGTGATATTCACCACTCCTCTGGACCGTGTTTCAGACTCCTTCTCCTTCCAACAAATTCACTCATTGCTCTGTGTAGAGTGTATGGAAGCACAGTGTACAACCCATGCAGGGCTAAAGATGAGCTGTAATGCTTTCCAGGGGTTTTGTTAACTCCTCTAACTAAACATGAACACTTAACTCAGTGTGCATCTTTGTATGCATCTTTACTTTTGTTGTCCAGGTCAAACCAAAGACTAGCTCATCTCCAATCTCTTTTTATATGTGATATGAATGACACTGACAGCTGTTGTGATGCCCCCAGGACAATGAGGAACAACAACAACAGTGATCATCGCAGCTATAAATCCTGCAGTCAGCAATACAGATGTGAAGGGTGAGGTAATGGAGGGTAAGAAGTCGTAGGAATTAAAAATACAGATGTGGCTAATGTCAGGATAAGGCTTTCAATCACGCAGCTTGTCGGAATGGTGTAATATCCTGAGGTTGTAGTTTTGGTTTCAGGAGTCAGAGCAGACCTCTTTTTAACTGTACATGTAATCTTTGTGTTTTGACGCCTGTACTGGAAGCTGTGGATGTCGATGCATCTGTCCTGACAGTACTGTGAACATTTCATGTGAAAGTACATTTCAAATACATTGCAATCCATATTTCCAATCACTAAAATATATTCCAGAATGTATTGCCATATTAACCAAATACAGTTTAAAATACACTTTTATTTTAAAATGTAAGGGCAGTTATTACACATAGAAATGTACCATAGAAAAATAAATGTTTGTAAATGTATTTATCCAATATATATAAAAATGTATGAAAATAGCCAAAATACTGTCTAATGCAATTTACTGTGTGGAATGCCTTTTGAATTTGTATTCCAGTATCTTAATTTTTATATATCAGCAAATG